TTCTACATGTTTCCCGTTTCTTTTTGTTGATTGAATATTAACATACATTAACAGTGATTTCATCACGATCTTTTCATATCGATCAGTTTATGAAGTGCTATCCATTGCAACGAAATGATACTTAAAAATAGAACTCATCTTATCAATCTCCATATCTAAAACAACACAATCAAGAAACGAAAATCTTATGCAAAATTCAACCCAGTAATGTATAACCAATTCTTCAATGCAACAAACACTAGATCCGTTACATGTTAGTAAATGCATTCAGCCCTGTAGTCTCATTTCCTGGTTCAAAGTTTTATAGTATTGGACAAGTTAGTGAAAGGCAACTACATCATCGAGCTTCCAAAAAGTAGCAGTTTAAAAATTCTGTGACGTCAACCGTGGCTGAGAGCATTAAAATGCATGAGAAACATGTGACCAGAAGAGATGCAATAGGTCTAGAATAATAGATCAAGACAACATGTAAAGCAAGAATTTTTTAGTATAAAGGGATAAAAAAACATATAAACCAGGAAACTATTAAGATCGAAAAGCCACCATCTAAACAAAACATTACACAGAACTAGAGAACCAAATGCACATTGGTTTCTACACACCAAGGAAAATTTACAAACCAACCAATTTGCACAAAAAGAGAGTAGTCCTCAAATCATGGCATGGATTCTCTTTGTTCTAGAAGAACTTGTGCATAATGTAAATTGGCATCGTCGTCACGCCAGTTAAGCATCCGATAGACACCACCCAGTTAAGCATTATACACACCATTAGATAAAACATTGCGGAACTACAAGAACAAACATAAATGAACCTTGTTTCCACACTTCAAAGAAAGTTAAGAAAGTGTACAACTTGATCGAATTTCGGACAAGTGGGTTCCTTTGTTCTAAAAGAACTTGTGCAGAATGCAGTGCAATCACCATTGTTGTCCCTAACAGTTAAGCATCAGAAAAACACCAAGTCCCAACCCAGTAAAGAATTACATTTCTATTGGTAAAATTACGCTTTAATCTTCAGAACTAATTTAATCAGCAAACAAGAGCAATTTTCACAAAAACATTAATTATGATTTAAAATAAAATAAATATAAAATAACCCATTAAAAAAACAAAAAAAAAACTTAACTTGCTGTTGCTGAGATGCGAGAGTGATCAAGGGAACAAAGCTGCGAGATCTATGAGAAGGAGGGTGTGAGATCCAGAGGGCAACGAAAATCAGAGACGGAGCTGGGGGATGCTCATCGATGCGTAGTGGTTGGAGATGGCCGGAGATGCAATGGAAGCCGAAGGTGGAAAAACTCGGCCTTTGTTTCTATCGTGGTGCTTTTGTTTGGGCTCTTGTTTGTTCGTGACAATGCGGTGGATTGGAAAAACAATCCCAGCAAGTTCAGCGTTTCCAATCCACCGCACTTGTCACTGAACAAACAAGAGCCCAAACAAAAGCACCACCGATAGAAACAAAGGCCGAGTTTTTCCACCTTCGGCTTCCATTGCATCTCCGGCCATCTCCAACCACTTTACGCCATCGATGAGCATCCCCCAGCTCCGTCTCTGATTTTCGTTGCCCTCTGGATCTCACACCCTCCTTCTCATAGATCTCGCAGCTTTGTCCTGATCACTCTCGCATCTCAGCAACAGGCAAGTAAGTTTTTTTTTTTTTTTTTAATGGGTTATTTATTTATTTATTTATTTTAAATCATTAATATGTTTGTGAAAATTGCTCTTTGTTGCTGATTAAATTAGTATCTGAAGATTAAAGCGTAATTTTACCAAATAGAAATGTAATTCTTTACTGGGTTGGGACTTGGTGTTTTTCTGATGCTTAACTGTTAGGGACAACAATGGTGATTGCACTGCATTCTGCACAAGTTCTTTTAGAACAAAGAGAACCCACTTGTCCGAAATTCGATTCAAGTTGTACACTTTCTTAACTTTCTTTGAAGTGTGGAAAACAAGGTTCATTTATTGTTTGTTCTGTAGTTCCGCAATGTTTTATCTAGATGGTGTGGTATAATGCTTAACTGGGTTTGGTGTCTATCGGATGCTTAACTGGCTGTGACGACGATGCCAATTACATTATGCACAAGTTCTTCTAGAACAAAGAGAATCCATGCCATGATTTGAGGACTACTCTCTTTTTGGCAAATTGGTTTGGTTTGTAAATTTTCCTTGGTGTGTAGAAACCAATGTGCATTTGGTTCTCTAGTTCTGTGTAATGTTTTGTTTAGATGGTGCTTTTCGATCTTAATAGTTTCCTGGTTTATATGTTTTTTTATCCCTTTATACTAAAAAAATTCTTGCTTTAACATGTTGTCTTGATCTATTATTCTAGACCTTATTGCATCTCTCTGGTCACATGTTTCTCATGCATTTTAATGCTCTCAGCCACGTTGACGTCACAGAATTTTAAACTGCTACGTTTTTGGAAGCTCGATGATGTAGTTGCCTTTCACTAACTTGTGCCAATATACTATAAAACTTTGAACCAGGAAATGGAGACTAAGGGCTGAAATGCATTTTACTAACATGTATACGGAATCTAGTGTTTGTTGCATTGAAGATATTGGTTATCACATTTACTGGGTTGAATTTGCATTAAGATTTTCGTTTCTTGATTGTGTTGGTTTTAGATATGGAGATTGATAAGATGAGTTCTATTTTTAAGTATCATTTCGTTGTCAATGGATAGCACTTCATAAACTTGATCGATATGAAAAGATTCGTGATGAACATCACTGTTAATATTTTGATAGTTAAATATTTCAATCCAACAAAAAGAAAGACGGGAAATATTTCATGTAGAATATATGTTTTTTAATTTATTGTTTTATGCCATAATGATATAAGAATTGTTTATTTTATTCAATTTCTATTTTTAATGTGAAAACATTTATTAGATAGTTCAATTTTATTGTAAATCAAACCCAAACTAGTGTTATTTAACTAATCAATCTTCTTAACCCCATATTAGACCAAACCAATCTTGGTATTATTACTCATTTAAGATGTGAACTTTATGTGCAGGTGACAACAAAGATGGGAGATAAGATATGAACACCTTGGTTAATTGAATCTATATTCATCCTCAAAGCTATTTGAACATCTTCAACGTAAACACAATGACCTTCTCTACTTTCAGATCCCAAACCTAGCCCTACTGAAATGGTGGGACCAAGGAGACACTTCCTCCCACTCCTCCTCTTTTCTCTCTCCGTCCTCTTCTTCTTCTCCTACTACCACTCCTCTCTTCCCCACTCCCCCCCAAGCCCTAACCCTAAATTCACTCTCCTTCCCCAAAATTCTAACTCTAACCCCAATTTCACCTTCATCATCAAGGTCCTTGCCTTCAATCGGCTTGACTCGGTAGCTCGCTGCCTACGTTCCCTTGCTGCCGCTAACTACCTCACTGACGAGGTCCATCTCCATGTCTACGTAGACCATTTTGCCCTCGGGGATCCCCCTTCAAACATTGATCAAAAGTTGCAGGAGTCGCATCACATTTTGGAGTTTGTAGATGGGTTTGAGTGGAAATTTGGGAACAAACTCATCCATTACCGGACTGCAAATGTTGGCCTTCAGGCCCAATGGTTGGAGGCCTGGTGGCCCAGTTCTGACAACGAGTTCGTTTTTGTTGTGGAAGATGACTTGGAGGTCTCACCGCTGTATTACAAGTTCCTGAGAAGTCTGGTTGTGAATTACTATTACAATGCCTCTAACTATCGTCCCTACATCTACGGGGCATCACTGCAGCGACCAAGGTTTGTCCCAGGTACCATCCTATTTTGGTTTCTTTGTTTGTTATTTTTCTTTAGAATATCAATCTTGGAATGCCTTATTTCTAATTTAGTTACCCAAAAAGGAAAATGTAAAAGGGCTTATGGTTAGTACGAGTACTGAATTTCTTGTACTTTGAGCATTGTCCGATACCTGATTCTGATCTGAATGATGTAGGTTGGCAAGAATGTTATAAGATACTAGTTTGCATGATTGTATTATGTAAAGGCAAATCAAATTTCAGTGCTGAATATTTGGATTTCAGTTTTGAATATTTGGATTTGAAAATAAGGTTGCAATTAAATCCTCTTTTAGCTTGGCATATTTCTTTTACTTTTTTGTTCATGAAAACGAATGGAAAAGAAAGGGAGAACCTACCTTTGTAATTTCCATTTATTTGATTTGTTGTTGGCACACAGTAGCAAACTACAATTGGATAAATTTTATTTGATTTGTTGTTGCCTTATAGGTAAACACGGGAACAAACTACAAATGGATGATAGAACACGACTCTTCTTGTACCAACTAGTTGGCACTTGGGGTCAGCTTCTCTTTCCTAAACCTTGGAAGGAGTTTAGGATGTGGTATGACGATCACAAGGCAAAAGGCATTAAGCCATTTCTTGATGGCATGGTACTTTATTACCTTTTAAAATTCGGTTTCTAGATTTTTTTTTTTTTTTAATTTTAGTTTTTTTTACTATCCCCACTTAGTGGGAAAAGGCTATGTTGTTGTTGTTTAGTTTTTTACAATCTCACTCATTCCTCAGTTGAGATGTTAAATTCATGTGCAGGTGACAACAGGGTGGTATAAAAAGATGGGAGAGAAGATATGGACACCTTGGTTCATTAAATTCATTCATACCCGTGGCTATTTTAATATCTACACCAATTTTTTGCACGAGAGAGCGCTCAGTGTCTCTCACCGGGATGCTGGTGTTAATTATGGGAAAACAGCTGGGCCTGATTCCCATGTACTGGATAAAAGTTATCTTGATTCAGATTTTTGGGATATGCAACCATTGAGTGATCTTAAGTGGTATGATTTTTGTTTCAGAGAAAAATTTCCTGACAGAGTTGTTGGGAGCCTTGATGAACTCGGGTCTGTTCTTAATTCTGTGCAGAAACATGACACCATTATTATTGTGAGCCTATTTGGGGTATCAGAGCTGGCAGTAAGGAACTTGCTCTGCCACTTTGAAAGTCTAAATATATGGAACTATGTACTTATTGGCCCTGAATCTGACTTCGTGTTTGATCTGGCAAGAAGAGGACATCCGGTGATTGGTACAAACCAGTTCCTGAAGAGTGTTGGAGCTTACAAATTGATGTCTCTCTCCAAGATTCATATGTGGAAATGATCAAGGTCTATGTATTAAAAAAGTGTTTTAGAATCTGGGTACAATGCCTGGGTGGTGGATGGGAACATGCTTCCTCTCAGCAGTGACCTTTTTGTTGAGTCTGATCCCTCATACGATTTCTACGTAGGGAAGAGCTCAGAACTTTTCTTTGCCAGAAGATCTTTCGCTCAGAATATTGGTGGTGATGATTTTATATCCAAATTTGCAACAATGGCGAACTCTTTGCTAGTAAGACAGAGCATAAGTTTTGGTTATATAATGGCAAAGCTTTTGGAAGAGAAGGGTGTGAAGGTCAAGAGTCTGGACGAGACAAGCCTTGGTCTCATGATCGTTAACAGTAATGTTAATGAATCTTTGGGGGATGGAAAACAGATGGTCTTTTGGTCTCGTGATATGGCTTCAGATTTAGTTCAGAAGCGGCTTCAAGAATTCGGTATTTGGACTGTAGATGATGACTTGTCTTGCAAGGCTGTTGTTTGTCACCAGTCATAGCATCTGATACCAGTTGTACACATTTGATCTCATGATTTCAATTTTGATTGTAACCTATATGTAGCCATTTGCTTTTTGAATTTTGACTTTCGATTTTTTCCCAGGCATGATTTTCATTTGCCAAGTTATCGGGAAGATTGTGGTTTGACATGCATGTGTGAGCTTGGTAGCACATAAAGTACGGGAAAAATTCAGGTGTCCCGGTGTGTAAACCTGTTTGTTCCTTTAGGTACCGTTTGGTACGCAGACAGGACAGAACAGGACGGGACGGGACGAAACGGATGATGTAAATATTGAAAAAGATAAGGAGAAATTTTGTCATAAAATGTTATAAATTTGTGTTCCACGGATGTGGAACGGGTCGTTCCAGGGAGAAGAGGTGGAACGAAAAATTAGCCAAATTTCGTTCCATGGGACAACCCCTTCCACAGTTTTTAAGTGCACCAAATGTGGGACGGAACGGGACGAGGCGTTCCGTCCCGCGTTTGGTACGCCAAAAATGGGTTGAACGGGCTGTTCCACGGGACAGATTTTGGGTGTTTTTGCGTCCCACCTCCCCCCTGGAACGGGTTTGTTCCACGTCTGTGGAACACACTGTTTTACCATTTTAAGACAAATATACCCTATGTATTTTTCAAAAATTACACCTTCGTTCCGTCCCGTCTCGTCCCGTCCCGTCTGCGTACCAAACGCACCCTTAGGTATCGTTTGGTATGCAAACGGGACGGAATGGGACGGGATGAGATGGGACAGGACGGGACAGAACAGAGAGGGAGCAAAGATGCCCTCGAATGGAAACAATGAGGAAGGAGATGGAGAGGTTATAATTTTGTGTTCCACGGATGTGGAAAGAGTCGTTCCAGGGGGTGAGACGGAACGGAAATTCACCCAAAATTTGTCCCGTGGAAAAGCGCTTTCCACCCGTTTTAGGCGCACCAAACGTGGAACGGAACACCTCATTCCACTCCGTTCTATCCTGTCCCACGTACCAAACGGTACCTTAGCATTCATGCTCGTAATTCTTGCACACCTATTAGATACAACCGTATAACTTCACACCTTGATTCCCCTACTTGCTTTCCCTGGTTCGTTAAACAGAGTAGGAGATCTATTGAATCTTGCTTTATTGATGTTGAGTAAATCTTGCACACCTATTAGATACAACCGTATAACTTCACATCCTAACTAAGATTTGTGTAATCATACTAATTATGGTATCATTTCCTCTTTCACCCCAATAAAATAAAAACTCAAAGTAATTAAGTTCATTTACACTTATTAGCTTTCTTCCTAGTGAAATTCCAACTAACAAACAACAATTTCAAGGACCCACATGAGTATATAAACAATTTTTTTTAAAACACTTGCAGTATCAACTCTATCTAAAAATAAATAAATAGAGCAGCAGAATTAAATACAAATCGTGATGAAATTGACTGAGTTTTCAAAAAGACAACAATATGATTACATTGTTTCTAGAAACTCTCTTAGGTAAACAATTAAGGCTTCTGTAATCCCACGTCTTGCCCTAAATTATGTCCCAATCTTCTTTGGAGTGACACACTAACAAAGAAAAGGGTAGTGGTTTAGTAGAATAATTAAGGAACCCATATATCACATTTTTCTAGTTTAAGGTGTTTCACTTTTCTAGAAATGTTAATTAATCCAAGAATCTGAGATTTTGATTCGGTGACAAAAAAACGTATGAGAATCTCATCCAACTAAGGTTGGTGGGTCTGATGATAAATAAAAATCAGAATAAGGATATTCTACTAATTATTTGATCTAAGTGATAAAGTTAGGATTTTTTTTTTTTTTTTTTTTGGAAGTGTTGAGACTAACAAGGCGTTCTCTTACTAGAAATGCATTCAAATGGACATATCTACGCACGGATAGTGTACCATTGGAATGCATGATATTTATATATGTTATAGGTAGTGCAACTGAAACAATATATATTAATTTTAATAGATATTTTAAGAGAATTTATCTCCTCTTGGTACGTATTAATTTGTCAACATTAGTGTTTCAAGCGCAATCAAATATTTTTTCATGTGATATGTGGCTTCCAATGAGTTGTGTTTGTACGATGTAAGTTTAACTTCTCATGTTTAGTTGATTCATTACTTCTTAATACAACGATATTAGGTGTCGAATTACCATTTCATATATATGAATTTAACTTAAGATCTATCACTTATAACCAAAGAGAAACATTATTAAGTAGCAATGCTAGTGGCTTGTTTCGTTACTTGTTAGAGTAATATATGTAATTGTACAGACCGTCCATCGATTTTAGTTTTTCAGTTCCAGATCTTATATTTGCTCTAACATTATCAAATGAAAATTAAAGTCAATGCATAAAACAAAATCATTCAAAAAGTAAAGTAAAAAGCACCAGGTTCCCCCATTTTGATGAAACACACCGTCAATACCATAGAATTCTAATGGCATCACCAGATTATATTTAATTCAGAGTTTTCAGTGACTAATTGGAACAAATCTCCTTAAGAAGTAAGCAAATCCAACACCTGGTAAAAACCCATTAGCCCTCTAAGTAATTTTCAAGTTCACAACATTCCACCACCCACTTATTCCTACTGTAAAATTTGTTATACTATGCTTAGCTTCTAGTTCTTCTTGTCCTAACATGCATGCAGAAGTTCTACATATACGCGGCTTAAAGCCATGGGATTCTTTGTGTATCTTTTGTCTCACTTCACATTAAACCAAAAGATTTAGATCCACCCAAAACAATATCTTAAGCTTTGGTTTCCAAAAATGCTTATCTTGAGCCAAGTATAGTTTAAGGGAAATGATTTCCGCTATCATATTTTTCTTACGTATACATCTATTTATTTATGTTTGTTGATTCTCCTTTGATTTATTGTTATTCATTAAAGATCATAAATGAGCAATAGTACCAAGGGAGAAAAACAATGTTTTCAAATCGCTTTCCTACCCTAACTACATAGCATTTGTAGTTGATAATGCTAAAGACAGTTGCACTTGTCAGCTGTTAGTGCATCAACAATAATACTACCAGAAAATACCATTTCCCCGACCACATTTTGCTAGACAAATCTCCCTTCGTTTGCAAAAGGGACTTTACTCGACGAAAACAAAAAGTGATTGGGCAAATCTGGACCATCTAGGGTTTTATATGTCAGAGGTTTTGCTTGACGAAATATTTTTGCAAGGCACGCTAGGCCATGTTTTGGCGCCAGGGGAAAAATGGATCTTATTGTGTAAAAGTTTGCTCGACAAATCTTCCAGATTTCATCGCACAGGTGTAATTTAGTGTTTAGGGTTTTTATTTTGTTGAGTAAAAGTGAGAGACATGGTTGGCATATTTAATTCCTTCAATGATTTTCGCAGTCTGCAAAATTAATTTCAACAATCCAACCATCAAACGTGTTTGTATATACTCCAAGATTGCATACCAAAAACAAACTTTCATGGATTAAGTATGGGACGATATCCTCCGACAGTTAGAAACCAAAATTCACGATTTAACGGTCACTTTAGCTCCGATTTTGATGTTTTTTTTACTATACAATCGTTGACCCTAGCATAATACAATGAGCGAACCTGGTCATCAATGTAAAATATTTACACTAGTGGATATCGCAAAATCTTACTTTCTACTTAACGGAAGTATACAATAAACTTTGTTTTTAAATCAATTGTTTTGACGGGACAAACATTCTACAAAACTAGTTTCAACGATCCAACTGTCAAACTTGTTTATATATACTTCTGGATCACATATACCAAAAATCACAAAATCATACTCTTGTACACCTATGAGATAAAACCCTATAACTTCTATCATATCCTAATTAAGATTTGTGTAATCATACTAACTATGGTTTCATTTCCTCTTTCACCCAAATAAAAATAAAAACTCAAAATAATTAGGCTCATTAACACTTAGCTTTCTTCCTAGTGAATTTCCAACCCAACAAACAACAATATCAAGGATCCACATGAGTTTATAAGCATTTTTTATAACACACTTGCAACATTCGACTCCATGTGAAAGAAATAAATAGGAAAAATAAGATAGAGATCACGATGAACTCACTGAAATTCAAAAGACGACAACATGATTACATTGCTACTAGATATTTTCTTAGGTAAAAAATTAGGGCTTTTGTAACCCCACGTCATGCCCTAAATTCTATCCTTATCTGCTTTGGAATGACACACTAACAAAGAAAGGCGTAGGAGTTTAGTAGAATAATGAAGGGACCCACATCACAGTTTTCTAGCTTAAGGTGTTTCACTTCTCTAGAAATGTTAATTAGCCCAAGAATCTGAGATTTTGATTCGGTGACAAACAAACGTATGAGAATCTTATCCAACTAAGGTTGGTGGGTGTGATAATATATAAAAATTAGAATAAGGAGATTCTACTTCTTTGAATAAAGTGATGAAGTCAGGATTTTCTTAAAGTGTTGAGACTTGAGACTAACAAGGCGTTCTATTATAGAAATGCATTCAAA